TCTCAAATTTTAGTCAATCAATCTTTGAATAATCAATTAATTTCCTTTTTTTAATTAATTGTATCGCAAATGTTAATAATAAGAGTCAATTATCTGCTTGTGAAATATTTATTATATAATAAGTATATGATTATTAGTGATAATTTTTAAACTCATAAGGAATTACTTAAATATAATTTGAAAAAACTGAGCTCAATATTTTTATTAAATGAAAATATGATGGAAATCTTTGGCAAACTAATAAAATGTTGAAAGATTGTTAAAATTGCTAATAATGAACCAAAGAATGCCAAATACCTTCATTATAGTTCTGAATTAGATAATTAGCTAGTTATTCCATATTAAGTAGCAGTAACTAATTATTAAGATATTAATTAAAATAAAGGAGACTAGGTGATCTAAAGAAAGCACAATGTTTTAAAGATGAGAGCAAAATCCTTAAATGATAGAAAAAGAAAATAGATTCTGTAATATAAAGATAAACACAGAATAAGCCAGGATATTTGAAAATTTGGTGTAGAATCAACACATATTCAAAATTCATTTTCTTGAATTATTTATTATTCAACATATCAAATATTAATCTTAGTTATTCTTAATGGAATCTGAGAAGTACATATTTCTTTAAAAATAAATTTAGTGCTCTTGCTTAACAAACTGAATACCCTAATAATTTTAAAACTAACTATTGTATAGTTTAAAGATTATTTCTATTAGTCATCTGTTACAATTTTAGAATTTTTTTGGTGATTTCTTGTTATGTGTATAACAATTTCCACAAAAATTGAACTTCATGACGAATGAAATGACGATTAACTTCCATTTCTTGAGACCATTTTACTAAATTGTAAGTCCTTATCCTATAATCACTTAAGATGCAAACTAATTTCCATAATCAAAAAGTTTTAAAATAAGTTTTTAACATTATTTCTTTAATTTGATTGTTCGCTATTCCTCATTCATGTTTCTAAATCTTAATTATACACTGATATTTACTCAGACATAACCATTTTAGTAACTTGTAAGTATTTACTTCATCAGAATCAACACTAATAAATATATCTTATTGAGGAGCATCTTAATTTTCTGGTGATCCTTATTCAGACTTAAATCCTTTTCCTTGATGATGTCAGATTATTTTTACTTTTAATATTATATCTCAAAATTAAAGATATTAGACACCTATTATTATTTCTTTTTGCATATTAATCATTCTCTTCCAATTTATCATATCCATTCTTGATGGAAAATTTTTACTATTGAGGTTATTTGATAATATTAATATAGATGTTTATTAAAATACTTATAGTGCATTCAGATAAATTCTGACCATCTGTAAAATTCTCTTTTGAAAAAATTATAGTAATTCTTTTCCCTTCTTTTCTATTAACGTTCATTCCTAATACTAGTTTTGCTTATCCCACTATCAAAAACAGTAAATTACTTTTTCTAGTTCAATACATTATTAGAGCAAGAAAGCAAAGTTATTAAATAATTAAAGCCTAAACCAGAGTAAAAATGGTCACCAAAAAGCAAGTGTAATTCTTTTACATTTATGAGAAGTTTGTGGATAAAATTAATATTATTTTGCAAAGATTAAGAGAACGCCATTTAAATGAGAATTTTATAATTTCAAGTTTGAAAATAACATTATTATTTGTCTTTTTAAAGAATCAGATATGATAAATTAATTAATAACTTATTCTTATTTCATCATACCTAGTTGTGCTGAGTTAATAGAATTGTTATCTTAAGAGTTTGTTATCAATTCAATTTAAGATTCATCAAATGAGTTATTCATTCACTAATGTAATTCTTCAATTTGCTTAATTAATATTTGAGGGTATTCTTGTAAAATATCATTTTAACCTTTCTCAATTTTGAATATTATTTGCAAATGATGCCTAGGTGCCTTTCAAGTTTTGTTAACTCCTTATTTTTCTATACCAGACTTATGCTTTCTAGAAGGATCAATTTTTAAACCTTATTGATTCTTAAAAACTTCTCCTATTATTTGTCCATTAGTATCACAATCTTTAGATTATTTATACACTAGGTATTCATTAGTATAAAACTGAAAGCGTGATTTAAAAAATTTAGCTTAGTTTCTAGAAAAACTCTAAACTCAAGATTATATATACTTTGAAATTTTTACTATGTTATAAAAGGGAATTCAAACTTTAAATGTTTTGGATTATCCGCACATGATACTAGACTTTGATGTTTATTATCAGCCTTAAAGGAAATGAATGGTTAATTATAGACTGGTATTTATTAAAATATCTACTTTAAATATAATAAGTTTATTACTAAAGTAGATACAATAACAATTAAATCTTAAGTAGAATTTTCTGCAAATTTGCTCATAAAAACTTATAGAATGAAAAAAGGAGATCAGTCTTGTAATTATGACTCTAATTTTACATTATTCTTCTTTTTGAACTTAAAATTTGCATATATATACTTCTTATTGAACTTAAAATTTGCATGTATAAACAGTATAGAGATTCTGATCATTATTTTTAGAATAAGTGTGCTACTAAAAGGAAGATAGAAAGCAGTTTAAAGATATTGTGAAAAAATACTAGAAGAATCAAGAGGTATTTAAATGTTACACTGAATTATGTTTAACTTTATTGCTATTTGGTCATTAGGAAATTAGACCATTGTTACTCATTACATTCTGAGATAAACTGCAGTTATTTAAAAAGTTATTTCTATTTGTATGTATACTCTTTCTACGTGAGCTGATTATATATATCTGCTCTAGTATTATTGTAAGGAATTAATTCAAATATCATAAATTATTTGCACTAAAATACATGTATTCGTCCATAAATCCTTACCTCGATTAGTTGCTTATCACAACCAATATTATTTTAAATGATGTACCACAATCCAAAACCAGTTTCATTTTTGTGATTTTAAAATATATTTCCTCTTTAATATAATTATCATCTTAGTCCTCTATGAATAATACAAATAAAATGGTTGTAGGTGTAACAATTACCTTGAATATCACAATAATGTTAAATTAAACTTGATCTCATATAAACACAATAAAATGCACGCGTCAATAAAAAATGATTTTTCAAAAGATATTCGTATAATAAATGCCGAACTAATGATCAATAACTGGGCTTTGTTGAGTGAGATAAGGAATGTTATTTTATTAAAACTATTTTGTAATAACACAATTTTGGTAGCGAATATATTTATTAAATATTTACTTAAAATTGAAGTTAAATAAGTTTAAAGGAAGATATCCTGTCTTCATAAGGTGTCTTATACATTTAGTTCTAAAGCTACATTGAAAATGGAATCTAACAGTTCATGTGATATTTTTAATTTAAATTTCATTAAATTAAAAAACTATTTACTATTTAAATAATTATTTATCTTCCGATGTCTTCTGCATTTCATATTCATATAGGAGGGGCTGGAGTAATGATTGGTGATATGTTATGGTAACTGTATGAAAAAGAATAAAATGAAACAACTGAGAAGAATTATATTTATGATGAAGTCAATGGGAATCATTATCCATTAGCACTTTTCGTAGATACAGACGACAGAATGATACATGAAGTCTAAAGGAATAAATCAGGCAAATTTAAGAAGCATTCATTTTTACATGGGAAAGAGGATGCATTAACTTATACTCGAGGTTTTTATACTGTTAGAAGAGGGATTGCCGATTAAGCATTAGAATATATTCGAAAACAAATAGAAACGATGGATCGATTAGATGAATTTGTGATCACAAGTTCAATCAGTGGAGGAACTGGGTCCGGATTTTGTTGTTGGTTAGTTGATGAGATGAATTGGAATGGTGGTTACAGCAAAGTAAGAAAAAATGGATTTATAATTTTCCCATCTTCAGAGATGTCCAATAATATTATTGATACGTATAATGCTGTGTTTTCGATT